CAAATATATGGGGAGGCCCTGGGCATGGGCCTAGGCTGCCTCCCCAAGGAGCTGGCCCTGCATATTCTACACTACACATACAGTCTAATAAAACCAGAGTTCCACTGAACATATCATATCGGCAAAAATGTATTTTTAGTCTTACACCACAACAATAGTCCAAAGGTTCCAACTTTTTGTCTTTCGGTCCTATGATTTAATATTTTGCTGCAATTTCAGTCCTCAAAAGGATTGAAACTGTAACAAAATTTTAAACAACAAGATTGAAATTGCAACAAAATTCTCAATTATAGGACTTAAATTGCTAATAAAAAATTTATAAATTTGAAAATTTGTTACAATTTCAACTCTTAAAAGACTTAAATTACAGCAAAATATTAAATCAAATGACCAAAAGGCAAAATGTTGCTATGACATTAAACCAATAGGACTAAAAATGCAATTTAGCCTATCATATCCAACACTTTTCTGCACGCTATTCGGTCACAAGCATCAGCATATCATCATCCACTGATTTTCGAAGCTGCAATGCACAAAAAGAGGATTTACTAAAGCTGAGGCCTGCTAAACAATATGCTACATCAACTAACACAAGTTGTAGGTAAAGTAAATTAAAGAAAAACGCAAGAGATAAATCTCAACTTTTGTTGTACCAAAGTTTGGCCAAAGCCAACATTCTTCTCTAGATCTCCAGTAGTTATAATAAAGTTTAACTACCCAAACCAAAATAAGAAAAGAAAGAGAAAAGGAAAGACCTATCTTTAGATTTACAGGTTATATTGGCTTCAATGCTCCAAATTCAGGTTTTCTGTCTCTAGAGGTTCCTGTTATTTACTAAACAAAGGGATTTGCATGTGAAATTTTGGAATTAACTATAACTTAGATAGTGGTATTGGCAAACTCATCGACCAGAAAAAGTTCTCACCCAATTACACGAGACAAACATAGCATATCTTGAAATGTTAAAGACCAAATATTGTGCAGCAATATTACACAAATTGTAGAGTAACATGTGATAAAATGGGTACAGAACTATACTATTGGGATAGCGCAAAAATGGGGAAAAGGAAAATGTTATTCTCAACTCCTAGCAAGAAAAGGAAAATCAGATTTTAGTTTCGCAAAATTCAGTTTTTAATTTTAATCAAGTGTTTAATTTTGCTTAAATATTTAAACAATGTGTCTGGGTGCTTCTGATTGTGGGGGATTGCTTTTAATATTTTCCTAAATAAAAAAAAAAAAAAAAAATTACCAACGCCAACTTTTCACATCCAAAAATGGACTTTTTTATCCAACATTTTGATGCGGACAAGATTGCATTGGCATATTTCGACAAATATGATCTTCTCGTCCCATTAGTTTAAGAATAAGTTTTATTGTGATTATTAAATTGTTTCTAATTATTTATCTTGGCTTGGTGGACAAGTTTAGGAGTAGGGTTTGTGATGCCGACGAGATTGCATTGGCATATCTCGACAAATATGATCGTCTCGTCAAATTAGTTTAAGAATATATTTTATTATGCTTCTTAAATTATTTTTAATTATTTATCTTGGCTTGGTGGGTAAGTTTAGGAGTATGGTTTGTGGGAGGCTTATTTCAAGGACTCTCCACCTTTTGTTTTACTCAGTTGATGAATGAAATAAGAATTTTATCGTGTTTTATCGTATTGAGAGATTGGATCTCTTCTATTCCTTTCCACTCGTACCCTTTTTTACATCAATTGGTTTCAACAGTCAACACGATTTACGATGCCGCGTGACGACAAGATGCAGCAAACGAACAATGTGACGCAGCCTTCAAGGACCGTTTCAAAAGATCGACGACCGGTTTATACAGATGGACGAGCGTTTCACGAATTGGTTTGAGGATCATTCAATGGGATCAAAGATGTGCGTCTCATGCTCGACACCATGGTCCGGTATTGCAGAAGAACCGCGATGGGGCTAGGGGACGCGACAATCGCAGGGGAGCCAGAGGCGGATGTGGAGGACGCGACTTTGTCCGGGCGCCCCAGGGCCCCATCGCTTCTAAACAACACGGATGGCGAAGACAGTACATGGATGGATGACGATCCGTTTGTTGGCCTCGCAGCCCATCGCGAGGACAAGTTCCATCACCACAATCAGAGGCGGCTCGATGACGGATTTCCACCGGCTTGGAATCCGAGCAACAACGCACTCCCGTATTCGAAAAATCGCCATGCAGCAGAGGGTTTTGGCCAGGGTTTCTGAAATCGCGACGGCATGGTGAGGGTTTTCTCGGTGCCTAGGATCGCGATATACGACGCGAGGGTTTTTTTCCGACCAACGGTGCCATGGTGAGGGTTTTCTCGGTGCCTAGGATCGCGATATCCGACGCGAGGGTTTGGGCGACACACAAGATTAAGACTTCCGGCGCGCAAGTTTTGGCAATTTCCAGCGCGACGGCTTGGGCGACACTCAAAAATCGTGACTTCCGGTGCGGAGGTTTGGGCGATTTCCGGCGCGAGGGTTTCGGTGATGCACAGAATGCGGCTTCCATCGCGCTGCTGCAGCTTTGACGGCGCGATTTTTAGCAACCAGCAGGGACAGCCTCCCGCGAGCTGGGAATTTGATGAGCCCTACGGCTTCGCCAACCACCGTGCTGCCGCGGGTCGTGCGTCCACAGCGTCGCGTGGGCAAGCCTTGACGAGGACCAGGGTATTGACCAACGACGAGGAGGTGTCGGTGACCATCGATGGGAGGGCGCCTTTCACGTGAACATACCCGAATTCTCCGCGAGTTAGATGCGATGGACTTCCTTGACTGATGGCCGTCGTTGAGTCGGCTCTTGAGTTTAAGAATGTACCGAACGATCGACGAGTGGCGCTCGTCGCAACATGACTTCGTGGTTGGGCGACCGCGTGGTGGCAACAGTTGAAAGGTGTGCAACATCGTTAGGGCAAGCCGAAAATCACCTCGTGCGCCAAGTTTTGTAAGTATCTTGAACGAGAGTTCTTGCCATCTAAATTTATTCGCACTATATATCAGCATTTACAGAACCTTCGACAAGGCCAACGCTCTGTTGATGACTACACCGAGGAATTCTACAAACTCTTCGCGCGTGTTGATATTCGCGAAACTATAGACCAGCTTGTTTCGTTTTATATTGGTGGGCTTCGTGTCTCTATCCACGAGATGCTAAATTTTTTTACCTCGGACTGCATTTCTGATGCGCATCAGCATGCGTTGTTAATAGAGCTGCAGGCCCAAGAGGTGGGCGCTTCTTTTGCGCCGTTTGTGAGGGAGCCTACTGAGGCACCGGGGTCTGCGGTTACCGCGCCGTTAGCGGCAAATTTGCAATCGAGTTAAAGGGCATTTGATGGCTAGGTAGTTGACCCCACATTTGGGGGCGGCAGTCGGCAGCCTGGCGCGCCATGCTGCTTCACATGTGGCGAACTTGGACATCGTTAGGCACAGTGCCCGAAGGCGAGAGGGTCACAGGCTTTGCTTGTCGAGGAGCCAGAGTCAGGCGGTTACGATGGCCCTCCCAATTTCGATACCGAGATTGAGGTTCCAAAGGTGCGTGTTTCAGGGGATGTGGGTCACGCGCTTTTCCTTCGTCGGCCTCTATTGTCCCCCACGTCTCTTTAGATGATGACGGTCCGCGTCATCACCTTTTTAAATCCACGTGTATCATTGGCGGCCGAGTGTGCCGTTTGTTATTGATTCCGACTCGTGCGAGAACGTGATCACGCATGCGGCCGTGGAGAAGCTTGGTTTGACGAGTGAACCGCATCCAGCGCCTTATGCTCTTGCGTGGATACTGCGTGACAATGCCTGCAATCGCCGCGTGTTGGTTTTCTTTTCTGTCGGCACCCTTTTCGCTCCCTTCGCCTCCGTCGTCACCATTGTTATTCCTCTCTCGCATAGCGCCGAGCTGTCATGTGCATTGGATGGTCGGCCGGTAGTTTTTGACGTGGGAAATTTTGTGTGGGTTGTTTTTCCGCCAGACAACTTTTCGGCACGTGAGTTTAGTGCGCTGTTCGCCCGGCCCCTACGAGAGCATCACTTCGACCGCTGCCGTCTTTGCTTGCCTTCTCATGTGCGCACGTCAGAAGTTTTCCCCGTGACGCATTTGGCCACTTTGCATGAGTACGGAATTATCTCGACGAGATTGCTGCGGATTCGAGGCCGAATTTTCTCCACCCAGGGGAGAAGGATGCCGACGAGATTGCATTGGCATATCTCAGCAAATATGATCGTCTCGTCCCATTAGTTTAAAAATATATTTTATTATATTATTAAATTGTTTTTAATTATTTATCTTAGAATTTGGTGGACAAGTTTATGAGTAGAGTTTGTGGGAGCCTTATTTAAAGGACTCTCCACCTTTTTGTTTTGCTCAGTTGATGTATGAAATAATAATTTTATCGTGTGTTATCGTATTGAGAGATTGAATCTCTTCTATTTTTTTTGACTCGTACGTTTCCCTACATCACATTGCCAAATTCGCCAAATTGATAGTGAGAGTGTTTCTACCTCTTCATCCATAAGCTGATATTAGAAGTATTCTTTTCCTAAAACACTTCTCTATTTGCAGATGCTATCCACTTTGATTATCAACAGTTTTAGCTTCTACTACAACAAACCACTCCAAAAATCCGATTATTGCAAAACACACCTTACATCAGTAAATAAGCAAGAAATTGAAGCTAAAACCTATGAATCATATGCACTCCATACGTGTGCTTTTCACAAATACTTCATATTCTCTATTCATTCTCCATATTCATAAAACCTTGAGCTATTGAAGTCAAGTGAAAGAAAAACAAAGTCTCCCACTGCCCGACTTTCTTTTAGCTCGGCCAAGTATGGATATACTCTTCTTGAATCAGACAAGGTAATCTAATCTACAATTACGGTAGTAAGTAGTGACTGCAAACACTGAGCACAATCGGTTATGCCAAATAAAGACCATTGGCGTCTACTCAAATTCCAATTTCCAGTTTCAATAATCCCTAATTAGTAAATTGCAATCTAAAAGCACAAAAAACCACAGCGTACCTCACTGACCTGCCTCAAACTCACAGCCTTATCCTTGCAGGATCGAACGGTTAAAAACTGATCGACGTCAAGCTTCTTGTCAATTATGCCAACGGTAAAGTAAATACTGTGGGATGGCGGCAGGTCGACTCTGATCTGATCGACATCGAACCACAAGAACAACTTCTGTACCTGAATCCCTTTCAAATCGGTGATGGACCCCACGCTGAGCTTTCCGGAGATTTTATCCTCGTAGTAAACTAGATAATCGAAGTGAATATAGCAGGGCTTCTCAAGGGTGACCTCAAACTGACCGTCCTCGGAGAGCGTGTAGCCTGTGACGGAGTCCGGCAAGAGGCCGCTGGGTAGACCGTATTTCGGGAGGATTTCGTAGACCGTCGGTTTGGGATCCTGTGGAGCGGCGACGGTGGCCGTTGAGATATTCAGAAGAGGGAGAAGAAGGAGAAAGTGGCAGTGGAGCTTGAATTTGGACACCATTTTTCTTGCTACTGGATAGGTAATACTGGATAGATTAATCCAGAGTGTTTTCGGTAGTTTATTCAATATATATATTGCATCTCGTCTTTCTAAAAGCATTAACATGAAATTCAATATTTTTACAACGAGAAAATTAAAATAGCATATATTTTCAATGACATCAATTATTTAGCTTCTTCTTGTTTTCTTTTTTCGAAACGACAAGGTATATTACTCCGAAACAATAATGCTAAGGAGCCAACTGTTGACTCTGTTATGGAGCCAACAACCAATGGGACAACTCCATGTGGGGTTGTCCCACATGGCTCCAATGTGGGACAGCTCCACATGGAGCTATTCCATTGACTGTTAGCTCCATAGCATTACTATACTCCGAAAGCACAAAAAGATACATAGTTCGGCGGCCAACTAGCTTAAATGCAACAAAGCATACAAAGGGTAAGACTAGCAAACCAACAACAAAGAAGAAGAAAGGGAGTAACAACCTAGCTCTCGGCTAAGGCAAAGGCAAAGAACCCAGGGGTTTAACTTCTACTCCCCACCAATAAGATAACCCAGAAAGGGACTAAACCCGCTGCATAAAAGACTAGTCACTGATCTCAACAAAGGTCCTAGCTAATCTTTAAAACACTACCAAGAGAAACTAAAGAAAACCACCTAAAATAGAAACAACAAAAACTGGCTAGACTGTACACTAGTGAATTCAGACCAATCTTTCACAACTTGAGTAACAGTAGATGCCTCTGATCTCCAAATACTATAAAACACCTAAAGGTTGTGGGTCTTCCAAAGCCACCATAATATATAAGAGGTGAGTTGCAGTCTTGCTTCTGAGGTTGGGGAGTGATTGATTGAACATACCTCTGGCCACCAATGCTAGGTTCTTGGAAGAAGAATATGTTATGGACTATAAGCCCAGTAGTAGAAATGTCCTAGAGGAGATAAAGGTGGTTAATACTTCAATACCGAGTGCACCTGATGTTACACCACAAAATGCTGTAACACGTATCACCGACGATTCAACTGTGCCGGTAGTAGGTAGTAGTTGGAGGGTTGTCCAGCAGCCCGGTCGATTCATGTTTCTAGGAGAGCCTTCTGAGACTGCCCCGTATGGACTTGACATCGACCCATGGACATATAATGAGGCACTCCAATATCAAAACGCAGTGTCTTAGCAAAGTGCGGTGGAAGCTGAGATAGAGTCAATGGACTCTAATCAGGTCTGGGATCTTGTAGTTGCAGAGCCACCCAGTGGCGTTCACGCCATTGGATGCAAGTGGGTCTATAAGATAAAGAGAGGATCAGATGGGAAGGTTGAGACCTTCAAATCTAGGCTTGTTGCGAAAGGGTATACTCAGAAAGAAGGGATCGATTATGAGTAAACTTTTTTCGCTGGTAGCTATGCTCAAATCCATCAGGATTCTCTTGGTTCTAGATACTCATATGGATTATGAGGTCTGGCAAATGGATGTTTAGACCGCTTTCCTTAATGGGAATTTGGATGAGGACATCTATATCAGCAACCAGAAGGGTTCATTGCAAAAGGACAAGAGCATCTGGTCTGTAAGCTAAAGCGGTCTATTTATGGACTGAAGCAAGCTTCGAGATCTTGGAGCATCCATTTTGACGAGGTTGTCTAGTCGTATGGATTTACCCAATGTCCGGATGAGCATTGTGTATACAAGAAAAGTGATGGAAACGTGGTGATGTTTCTTGTGCTATACGTAGATGACATTCTTTTCATTGGAAACAACGTGAAGAAGTTATCAAAGGTAAATGTATGGTTATCCAAGCAGTTTGATATGAAGGATTTGGGAGAAGTAGGACACGCTCTTGGGATTAAGGTCATTCGAGACTGAGAGAACAGAATGTTGTGCTTATCTCAATCCACATACATAGATACTGTCTTGGCATGTTTCATCATGCATGATTCGAAGAAAGAGCAACTGCTCTATCGACATGGAATCGCTCCGTCTAAGAAGATGTCTCCCAAGATACCTCATGAGATAGAGGACATAAAGGCATTTTCTTATGCATCGGCAGTAGGAAGCCTTATGTATGCAATGTTGTGTACGCGACCAGATATCTGTTATGTCGTGGGCATGGTAGCACGATATCAAAGTAATCATAGACCGGAACATTGGTCTGCGGTAAAGCATATACTCAAGTACCTTAGAAGGACTAAGGAGTACATGTTAGTTTACTAGTCAGATGAGTTACTCCCATTGGGTTACACTGATTCTAATTTCCAGTCAGATCGGGATGAAAGTAGATCCACCTACTGGTTTGTGTTTACTTTAGGAGGAGGAGCCATAGTTTGGTGGAGTGTCAAGCAGAAATGCGTGGCAAACTCTACCACTGAAGCCGAATATGCCGCAGCCCCAGAGGCAACAAAGGAAGCGGTGTGGCTCAGAAATTTCTTTCTAGACCTCGACGTGGTACCGAGTTTTCCTGCTACAATTACAGTTTTCTGTAATAACTGTGTAGCAGTAGCAAACTCGAAGGAACCACGAACTCATAAAGCGAGTAAACACATAGAGCGCAAGTACCACCTGATACGGGCAATCGTTGGACGAGGAGAAGTCGTTGTTGCCAAGATACAGTCAGAGGACAACCTAGCAGACCCTTTTACAAAGAGCCTACTGGCGAAAGTCTTTGACCGACACGTAGAGAGAATGGGAGTAAGACATAGAGCGACTTGATAGACTAGTAATAGCCGTAAGACATAGACCCTTTGAGAATTAAATTGAAAGTTAATTATGGTTAGTAATAGCCGTAAGCATTGTTAAGATATGCTGTAAAAGCTCGGCTTTCAGTTTCTGGCAATTCCATTTTAAATCTGGCAATCATGTTTTAGTCAAGTATTTATGTTTGTAAGTTTATTTATTTATGCAAGCACAATTCTCTTTATTTTACATTGTAGATAGTATGGTTCGATGTGTCAAACAGAAAGATCATATTATCAGTTCCTTGTGAAATGAATTAAGTATTCACAGTCTACACAGACTTGAACAACCTGTTGGTAAAAGACTGTAGTCTAATTTGATTCAGTTGGTCTTTGACTGATGGATTACACTAGTATTTTGTTAAGTATTTAATGGACCACAGAAGGATAAGATTATTTGAATAATGACTGACTAAATAATCTAGACCTTCAGTAATTGATGCGTACTCTTAAGCCTTAACATAATAAACAGGCATATATATTCATTACTTGTTTATTTGATTTACCTAGGGTGATTCCTATTTTATTAGGATGACATATTTGGTACTTTGGTAAATGATGTGTTGTTAAAATTATTTACGATCACCATGTCCCAGTGCGCCGGTGAAGACGACTCCATAATGAGCTCAGGAATGAATATTATGTTAAGCCTTGCAGGCAGATTAATATATAACATAATTATTAAGGAACTGAGTGGTACTAATTTCGGGTCCTGCGGGAGAAAAAAAATTGATTAATTTTATTGTTAGTAACTTAATTAATCAATGGACATTATATCTTAAACATGTGTATCGTAAATCGATCAATTAAATTAATATTAGCTAATTAAGTATGAGGTTAGAATTTATTCAATAAATTGAAGCTAACTGTGGAGAGCAAAAATATTACTCTAGTGAAATGTTTTATTTTTTAATTCAATTAGGAGATAGAAATTAATTTATTCTCATTAATTAATTCCCTAATTAGAAGAATAAACTTCCTTCTAGAATATTACCAAAGGTTAGGAGACTTGGGAGTCTTCTAGAAGGGGTGAAATTTTGTCGAAGACAAAGGAGAAAAGGGAAAAGATAATTGAAAAATTTTCGAGCACAGAAGACATTAGCCGTTCATGAGCCATCCCATGACTCCCTTCACTACAGTCTTTTCCATCTTTCTACTCTCTTCTTCTCTCTTTTATTGCAGCACTTTGAGGTCAAGCCATACTGGGTTGAGGCACTCAGTCTGTCTCTTTTTTTGTAGGGGGGATTTTGTTGGTGGTATTGTTTTCATTAGGGCTGGAAGGAATTAGGTCTTCTAGAAGGGAAGTAATTAGAGAATATAGGTTTCATGACCCTAGTCAGAAAAGCTCATATTTAGCATCATCTTAAGGTCTTTAATGTAGCCTATAATACACCATGTACCAACATCTCTTGTAATGTTTGTTTGACCGATTTTTCTAGTCTTAAGGGGAGAGCGAAAATCGAGTTTTGTACATATTGAGACTTCAGGAGTTTCGTTTAATCAGACCACCAAGATTATTCGAAGTAGGTGTATAAGGTCATACATTAGAAGATTTTAAGGTCCAATATATTTTGAACATCCTGACGAATATATTGTTATTATCTATATGATTCTGCAAGCCCTTACGTGCCGAAAATCGCCGCCGCCGAAAATCGCGCCCAGCCCTTCGCTGCCGCACGCGACCGCTGACGAGCCCTACACACGCCACCTTAAGTCATTCGCCACAGCCGCAGTCCTCAGGCCACCAAGTGATTCACCGGCGACCCTCGTACATCCCTACGATGCCTGTCCTCGCCACGAGATGCCCTCACCCGAGAAGTCCGCGCCCCGCGTCTCTGCAGCTCCTAGTTGCCTTATCGTGCATGCCCCGACACCCTCGGACGCATGCCGCGCACGACAGTAGCCAACGCCCGACGCGAAGGATAGTCCGCGAGCCCCTGCGCGCCAAAAGCCGCACGCGACCTCACAGACGTACTCGACTGCAACCACACAGACGCACATGACCGCAGCACTCGCACGCAACAGACTACAGCTCGATGCCAGTAGCAGCACTCGATGTGCATGCACCCGGACAACGCCCGATGCGCGACGATTCCAGGTGACCCGATCGCGACCCGACCACTTCCCAGCGACCCGTGATCAACCGAGAGGCCTAGTCTGGCTGCCCAACGAACACTGCGGTTCAAATGATCTCCTACAGAGAAAATCTACAGCGTCTCAAAGTCAGCAAAATTTTAAACGATATTGTCCTAATCCTAACTATAGATCCTGATGC